CTAAGCCTAAGCCTAAGCCTAAGCCTAAGCCTAAGCCTAAGCCTAAGCCTAAGCCTAAGCCTAAGCCTAAGCCTAAGCCTAAGCCTAAGCCTAAGCCTAAGCCTAAGCCTAAGCCTAAGCCTAAGCCTAAGCCTAAGCCTAAGCCTAAGCCTAAGCCTAAGCCTAAGCCTAAGCCTAAGCCTAAGCCTAAGCCTAAGCCTAAGCCTAAGCTAAGCCTAAGCCTAAGCCTAAGCCTAAGCCTAAGCCTAAGCCTAAGCCTAAGCCTAAGCCTAAGCCTAAGCCTAAGCCTAAGCCTAAGCTAAGCCTAAGCCTAAGCCTAAGCCTAAGCCTAAGCCTAAGCCTAAGCCTAAGCCTAAGCCTAAGCCTAAGCCTAAGCCTAAGCCTAAGCCTAAGCCTAAGCCTAAGCCTAAGCCTAAGCCTAAGCCTAAGCCTAAGCCTAAGCCTAAGCCTAAGCCTAAGCCTAAGCCTAAGCCTAAGCCTAAGCCTAAGCCTAAGCCTAAGCCTAAGCCTAAGCCTAAGCCTAAGCCTAAGCCTAAGCCTAAGCCTAAGCCTAAGCCTAAGCCTAAGCCTAAGCCTAAGCCTAAGCCTAAGCCTAAGCTAAGCCTAAGCCTAAGCCTAAGCCTAAGCCTAAGCCTAAGCCTAAGCCTAGCCTAAGCCTAAGCCTAAGCCTAAGCCTAAGCCTAAGCCTAAGCCTAAGCCTAAGCCTAAGCCTAAGCCTAAGCCTAAGCCTAAGCCTAAGCCTAAGCCTAAGCCTAAGCCTAAGCCTAAGCCTAAGCCTAAGCCTAAGCCTAAGCCTAAGCCTAAGCCTAAGCCTAAGCCTAAGCCTAAGCCTAAGCCTAAGCCTAAGCCTAAGCCTAAGCCTAAGCTAAGCCTAAGCCTAAGCCTAAGCCTAAGCCTAAGCCTAAGCCTAAGCTAAGCCTAAGCTAAGCCTAAGCCTAAGCCTAAGCTAAGCCTAAGCCTAAGCCTAAGCCTAAGCCTAAGCCTAAGCCTAAGCCTAAGCCTAAGCCTAAGCCTAAGCCTAAGCCTAAGCCTAAGCCTAAGCCTAAGCCTAAGCCTAAGCCTAAGCCTAAGCCTAAGCCTAAGCCTAAGCCTAAGCCTAAGCCTAAGCCTAAGCCTAAGCCTAAGCCTAAGCCTAAGCCTAAGCCTAAGCCTAAGCCTAAGCCTAAGCCTAAGCTAAGCCTAAGCCTAAGCCTAAGCCTAAGCCTAAGCCTAAGCCTAAGCCTAAGCCTAAGCCTAAGCCTAAGCCTAAGCCTAAGCCTAAGCCTAAGCCTAAGCCTAAGCTAAGCCTAAGCCTAAGCCTAAGCCTAAGCCTAAGCCTAAGCCTAAGCCTAAGCCTAAGCCTAAGCCTAAGCCTAAGCCTAAGCCTAAGCCTAAGCCTAAGCCTAAGCCTAAGCCTAAGCCTAAGCCTAAGCCTAAGCCTAAGCCTAAGCCTAAGCCTAAGCCTAAGCCTAAGCCTAAGCCTAAGCCTAAGCCTAAGCCTAAGCCTAAGCCTAAGCCTAAGCCTAAGCCTAAGCCTAAGCCTAAGCCTAAGCCTAAGCCTAAGCCTAAGCCTAAGCCTAAGCCTAAGCCTAAGCCTAAGCCTAAGCCTAAGCCTAAGCCTAAGCCTAAGCCTAAGCCTAAGCCTAAGCCTAAGCCTAAGCCTAAGCCTAAGCCTAAGCCTAAGCCTAAGCCTAAGCCTAAGCCTAAGCCTAAGCCTAAGCCTAAGCCTAAGCCTAAGCCTAAGCCTAAGCCTAAGCCTAAGCCTAAGCCTAAGCCTAAGCCTAAGCCTAAGCCTAAGCCTAAGCCTAAGCCTAAGCCTAAGCCTAAGCCTAAGCCTAAGCCTAAGCCTAAGCCTAAGCCTAAGCCTAAGCCTAAGCCTAAGCCTAAGCCTAAGCCTAAGCCTAAGCCTAAGCCTAAGCTAAGCCTAAGCCTAAGCCTAAGCCTAAGCCTAAGCCTAAGCCTAAGCCTAAGCCTAAGCCTAAGCCTAAGCCTAAGCCTAGCCTAAGCCTAAGCCTAAGCCTAAGCCTAAGCCTAAGCCTAAGCCTAAGCCTAAGCCTAAGCCTAAGCCTAAGCCTAAGCCTAAGCCTAGCCTAAGCCTAAGCCTAAGCCTAAGCCTAAGCCTAAGCCTAAGCCTAAGCCTAAGCCTAAGCCTAAGCCTAAGCTAAGCCTAAGCCTAAGCCTAAGCCTAAGCCTAAGCCTAAGCCTAAGCCTAAGCCTAAGCCTAAGCCTAAGCCTAAGCCTAAGCCTAAGCCTAAGCTAAGCCTAAGCCTAAGCCTAAGCCTAAGCCTAAGCCTAAGCCTAAGCCTAAGCCTAAGCCTAAGCCTAAGCCTAAGCCTAAGCCTAAGCCTAAGCCTAAGCCTAAGCCTAAGCCTAAGCCTAAGCCTAAGCCTAAGCCTAAGCCTAAGCCTAAGCCTAAGCCTAAGCCTAAGCCTAAGCCTAAGCCTAAGCCTAAGCCTAAGCCTAAGCCTAAGCCTAAGCCTAAGCCTAAGCCTAAGCCTAAGCCTAAGCCTAAGCCTAAGCCTAAGCCTAAGCCTAAGCCTAAGCCTAAGCCTAAGCCTAAGCCTAAGCCTAAGCCTAAGCCTAAGCCTAAGCCTAAGCCTAAGCCTAAGCCTAAGCCTAAGCCTAAGCCTAAGCCTAAGCCTAAGCCTAAGCCTAAGCCTAAGCCTAAGCCTAAGCCTAAGCCTAAGCCTAAGCCTAAGCCTAAGCCTAAGCCTAAGCCTAAGCCTAAGCCTAAGCCTAAGCCTAAGCCTAAGCCTAAGCCTAAGCCTAAGCCTAAAGCCTAAGCCTAAGCCTAAGCCTAAGCCTAAGCCTAAGCCTAAGCCTAAGCCTAAGCCTAAGCCTAAGCCTAAGCCTAAGCCTAAGCCTAAGCCTAAGCCTAAGCCTAAGCCTAAGCCTAAGCCTAAGCCTAAGCCTAAGCCTAAGCCTAAGCCTAAGCCTAAGCCTAAGCCTAAGCCTAAGCCTAAGCCTAAGCCTAAGCCTAAGCCTAAGCCTAAGCCTAAGCCTAAGCCTAAGCCTAAGCCTAAGCCTAAGCCTAAGCCTAAGCCTAAGCCTAAGCCTAAGCCTAAGCCTAAGCCTAAGCCTAAGCCTAAGCCTAAGCCTAAGCCTAAGCCTAAGCCTAAGCCTAAGCCTAAGCCTAAGCCTAAGCCTAAGCCTAAGCCTAAGCCTAAGCCTAAGCCTAAGCCTAAGCCTAAGCCTAAGCCTAAGCCTAAGCCTAAGCCTAAGCCTAAGCCTAAGCCTAAGCCTAAGCCTAAGCCTAAGCCTAAGCCTAAGCCTAAGCCTAAGCCTAAGCTAGCCTAAGCCTAAGCCTAAGCCTAAGCCTAAGCCTAAGCCTAAGCCTAAGCCTAAGCCTAAGCCTAAGCCTAAGCCTAAGCCTAAGCCTAAGCCTAAGCCTAAGCCTAAGCCTAAGCCTAAGCCTAAGCCTAAGCCTAAGCCTAAGCCTAAGCCTAAGCCTAAGCCTAAGCCTAAGCCTAAGCCTAAGCCTAAGCCTAAGCCTAAGCCTAAGCCTAAGCCTAAGCCTAAGCCTAAGCCTAAGCCTAAGCCTAAGCCTAAGCCTAAGCCTAAGCCTAAGCCTAAGCCTAAGCCTAAGCCTAAGCCTAAGCCCTAAGCCTAAGCCTAAGCCTAAGCCTAAGCCTAAGCCTAAGCCTAAGCCTAAGCCTAAGCCTAAGCCTAAGCCTAAGCCTAAGCCTAAGCCTAAGCCTAAGCCTAAGCCTAAGCCTAAGCCTAGCTAAGCCTAAGCCTAAGCCTAAGCCTAAGCCTAAGCCTAAGCCTAAGCCTAAGCCTAAGCCTAAGCCTAAGCCTAAGCCTAAGCCTAAGCCTAAGCCTAAGCCTAAGCCTAAGCCTAAGCCTAAGCCTAAGCCTAAGCCTAAGCCTAAGCCTAAGCCTAAGCCTAAGCCTAAGCCTAAGCCTAAGCCTAAGCCTAAGCCTAAGCCTAAGCCTAAGCCTAAGCCTAAGCCTAAGCCTAAGCCTAAGCCTAAGCCTAAGCCTAAGCCTAAGCCTAAGCCTAAGCCTAAGCCTAAGCCTAAGCCTAAGCCTAAGCCTAAGCCTAAGCCTAAGCCTAAGCCTAAGCCTAAGCCTAAGCCTAAGCCTAAGCCTAAGCCTAAGCCTAAGCCTAAGCCTAAGCCTAAGCCTAAGCCTAAGCCTAAGCCTAAGCCTAAGCCTAAGCCTAAAGCCTAAGCCTAAGCCTAAGCCTAAGCCTAAGCCTAAGCCTAAGCCTAAGCCTAAGCCTAAGCCTAAGCCTAAGCCTAAGCCTAAGCCTAAGCCTAAGCCTAAGCCTAAGCCTAAGCCTAAGCCTAAGCCTAAGCCTAAGCCTAAGCCTAAGCCTAAGCCTAAGCCTAAGCCTAAGCCTAAGCCTAAGCCTAAGCCTAAGCCTAAGCCTAAGCCTAAGCCTAAGCCTAAGCCTAAGCCTAAGCCTAAGCCTATAAGCCTAAGCCTAAGCCTAAGCCTAAGCCTAAGCCTAAGCCTAAGCCTAAGCCTAAGCCTAAGCCTAAGCCTAAGCCTAAGCCTAAGCCTAAGCCTAAGCCTAAGCCTAAGCCTAAGCCTAAGCCTAAGCCTAAGCCTAAGCCTAAGCCTAAGCCTAAGCCTAAGCCTAAGCCTAAGCCTAAGCCTAAGCCTAAGCCTAAAGCCTAAGCCTAAGCCTAAGCCTAAGCCTAAGCCTAAGCCTAAGCCTAAGCCTAAGCCTAAGCCTAAGCCTAAGCCTAAGCCTAAGCCTAAGCCTAAGCCTAAGCCTAAGCCTAAGCCTAAGCCTAAGCCTAAGCCTAAGCCTAAGCCTAAGCCTAAGCCTAAGCCTAAGCCTAAGCCTAAGCCTAAGCCTAAGCCTAAGCCTAAGCCTAAGCCTAAGCCTAAGCCTAAGCCTAAGCCTAAGCCTAAGCCTAAGCCTAAGCCTAAGCCTAAGCCTAAGCCTAAGCCTAAGCCTAAGCCTAAGCCTAAGCCTAAGCCTAAGCCTAAGCCTAAGCCTAAGCCTAAGCCTAAGCCTAAGCCTAAGCTAAGCCTAAGCCTAAGCCTAAGCCTAAGCCTAGCTAAGCCTAAGCTAAGCTAAGCCTAAGCCTAAGCCTAAGCCTAAGCCTAAGCCTAAGCCTAAGCCTAAGCCTAAGCCTAAGCCTAAGCCTAAGCCTAAGCCTAAGCCTAAAGCCTAAGCCTAAGCCTAAGCCTAAGCCTAAGCCTAAGCCTAAGCCTAAGCCTAAGCCTAAGCCTAAGCCTAAGCCTAAGCCTAAGCCTAAGCCTAAGCCTAAGCCTAAGCCTAAGCCTAAGCCTAAGCCTAAGCCTAAGCCTAAGCCTAAGCCTAAGCCTAAGCCTAAGCCTAAGCCTAAGCCTAAGCCTAAGCCTAAGCCTAAGCCTAAGCCTAAGCCTAAGCCTAAGCCTAAGCCTAAGCCTAAGCCTAAGCCTAAGCCTAAGCCTAAGCCTAAGCCTAAGCCTAAGCCTAAGCCTAAGCCTAAGCCTAAGCCTAAGCCTAAGCCTAAGCCTAAGCCTAAGCCTAAGCCTAAGCCTAAGCCTAAGCCTAAGCCTAAGCCTAAGCCTAAGCCTAAGCCTAAGCCTAAGCCTAAGCCTAAGCCTAAGCCTAAGCCTAAGCCTAAGCCTAAGCCTAAGCCTAAGCCTAAGCCTAAGCCTAAGCCTAAGCCTAAGCCTAAGCCTAAGCCTAAGCCTAAGCCTAAGCCTAAGCCTAAGCCTAAGCCTAAGCCTAAGCCTAAGCCTAAGCCTAAGCCTAAGCCTAAGCCTAAGCCTAAGCCTAAGCCTAAGCCTAAGCCTAAGCCTAAGCCTAAGCCTAAGCCTAAGCCTAAGCCTAAGCCTAAGCCTAAGCCTAAGCCTAAGCCTAAGCCTAAGCCTAAGCCTAAGCCTAAGCCTAAGCCTAAGCCTAAGCCTAAGCCTAAGCCTAAGCCTAAGCCTAAGCCTAAGCCTAAGCCTAAGCCTAAGCCTAAGCCTAAGCCTAAGCCTAAGCCTAAGCCTAAGCCTAAGCCTAAGCCTAAGCCTAAGCCTAAGCCTAAGCCTAAGCCTAAGCCTAAGCCTAAGCCTAAGCCTAAGCCTAAGCCTAAGCCTAAGCCTAAGCCTAAGCCTAAGCCTAAGCCTAAGCCTAAGCCCTAAGCCTAAGCCTAAGCCTAAGCCTAAGCCTAAGCCTAAGCCTAAGCCTAAGCCTAAGCCTAAGCCTAAGCCTAAGCCTAAGCCTAAGCCTAAGCCTAAGCCTAGCCTAAGCCTAAGCCTAAGCCTAAGCCTAAGCCTAAGCCTAAGCCTAAGCCTAAGCCTAAGCCTAAGCCTAAGCCTAAGCCTAAGCCTAAGCCTAAGCCTAAGCCTAAGCCTAAGCCTAAGCCTAAGCCTAAGCCTAAGCCTAAGCCTAAGCCTAAGCCTAAGCCTAAGCCTAAGCCTAAGCCTAAGCCTAAGCCTAAGCCTAAGCCTAAGCCTAAGCCTAAGCCTAAGCCTAAGCCTAAGCCTAAGCCTAAGCCTAAGCCTAAGCCTAAGCCTAAGCCTAAGCCTAAGCCTAAGCCTAAGCCTAAGCCTAAGCCTAAGCCTAAGCCTAAGCCTAAGCCTAAGCCTAAGCCTAAGCCTAAGCCTAAGCCTAAGCCTAAGCCTAAGCCTAAGCCTAAGCCTAAGCCTAAGCCTAAGCCTAAGCCTAAGCCTAAGCCTAAGCCTAAGCCTAAGCCTAAGCCTAAGCCTAAGCCTAAGCCTAAGCCTCATCAGCACGGGAAATATACAGAAAAAATTCCATTAGTGTAAGCGGAGTAAGCGTCACCCCGTCTGCACTCACTCCTAGACCCGCCCTGTACTTTCCAATGTCCGCCCATCTTCCGTATCTTACGCACCCCTGCTCTCCGAAGAAACGCCCGCATCCCTTCACCCGCCTGCCCTTTCCAATGTCCGACCGCTTTCCTCACCTTATTGGAGTAAGTGTTACCCTCCCCGTATTCCTAGACCCGCCCCCGTCTGCATTCGCCTTCCCAATGCCCATCCGTCGTCTCCCGTACCCCACGCATCCCTCCTCTCACATTTCTGAGACCTATCTATTCCTTCGAGACTTGGTGTCGCTAACTTGGCACAAGTAAAATCATAAAAAACACCAGAAAAACATTACAACGACAAAAATATGGCGATAAAAATATAGGAAACCATAAAATAAAAAACCTAACAAAAAAACATATCTAAAACATCTCAATTTAATTGCTAAGTACAAGAAAATAACTGAAAACTTAATACAAAAATGAAAAACTGACTCACCTGGTGTTCGTTCCTTTCGAGAACTTGCTTGTTGATCTATTTGCCAATCGAAGGGGTCCATCACAATGTACCAATACCACAATATCAACATCACCATGACGTCGAACAAGGTGAAACATCTCCAGCAACACTGAAAAAGTCATTAAGCTTTCGCCAACGAAACTCAAAATGTAGCAAAGAACACATCAAAGATACAAGATCAGTAAAAAACCAAATCTCCAAATTTGTGCACCAATATAACAAAAACATAAAATTGCCGCAATTCGTCCCACGAGTCATTTAATTAGCTAATAAAAAATTATAGAGAAGATGAAATCGAATTTAAAATGTCAAAATTCATGTTCAATTACACATACCTTCATGCGGTCCCAACCAAATGGAAGCTCGATGTCTTTTCCTTCCATTAGGTTTCCTGCAAATAATACAGTGCAAGTTTAATAATTGATAATCTAAAAAAAAAAAAAACTTTGCTCCTACAAACCCACTTAAATGAAGGTACTAGGAAGTAATAAAATCTCCAACCGCTCGACACGTCCGACTGCTCAGGAATGACTAAATGATGAGGATGTGGCGATATGTGTGCCACCCCGTCTGCGCCTTTGTCTGTGTGCACACATGGACAAAGAAGTCCTTTGTCCCAATAAGGTTAAGAGGGAAATGTGCAGGAGGGCGCGGGTCATTTTTAAAAGGACTGTATAGACCACCCTAAGGGAGTATAGAACCAATCGACTGGGTGAGTTGGGTTATGCATATGAGAAGCGAACGGGTGGACAGAGACATCAAAAGAAACCGTACTGTACAGGCACTCCGTTCGCCCTCAATGAGGGTATACCGAAAAGGGCAAAAGCGGGCCGGTGGGCGCACACAGTGGCTGGGCACACACATCCCCTTTATCACTACAAAATACGCATACATGTATAAGTAAAACTACTTAAAAAGAAAAACTAATCAAGCCCATCCGTTATCAACGCTAATTAACCCCGTCCGTCAAAAGAACAATACCATACACAGGCGGAATGATAACACATTTCATTCATAAATGCAAGTTAGAGACAATAAAAAAAGTACAGAAAACCATAAAATAAAAAGCTAAGGAAAAAGGCTAAACATAAAGATGAAAAATGGACTAACCTCCTTCTTTTCGAGATCTTCCTTGATGATATAATTGCCAATAACAGTTCGCCAACATTGCCAACAACACTAAATAAGTTACTAGGTTATCGCCAACGAATTCTGCAATAAATGATTTTCTTTACGACAACGATAAGCTGCAGCAATACAACAAAAATAGAAATTGGCCAAAAACCGTCCCAAGAAACATTCAATTAACTAATAGAAAATTAGAAAAAAAGTGAAGCCGAATTTAAGATATAACGAAATTCAAATTTTAGTACATCTACATCCATGCATTTCTCAACCAAATCCAACTTCGATGACCTTACGCTTTAAGAGTAATTTACTTAAAAAGATGACTTAAAAGTGTCTTAAAAATATAATAACAATTTAACCAAAAGAAAAAGTATAACTTAAAAAAGAGAAAAAAACTTTCCCCTAAAACGCAATATGAAAAGAATTATGGGAGAGTAATAAAACAAACGTCCGAACGCTCGACAGACCCGATTGCTCCACGAATGACCTGATGACGAGGATGTGGCTATATATATGTGCGCACAAGGACAAAGGAAGTCCTGTGTTTTTTAGAAAAGACTGTATAGGCCTAGGAGAGTACAGTGATGATCGACTGGGTAAATTGGGGGCTCATTGTTGGGGTGTGTGCGTCTGAGGAGCGAACGGGTGGGCAGACTCTTCAGTTCGCCTTCAGTGATGAGGTTAGGGCAGAAATGAGGGAAAGGGGTGGGGTAGGCATACGTGGAGGGTGGTACATCTTAAGAGACCGTACCGTAGTCACTGTGCTCGCCCTCAGTAAGGTTTGGGCAGAAATGAGGAAAAGAGTTAACGAGCGAGCGGGTGGATACACACATCTGAGAAGACCGTACCGTACAAGCGGCCATGAGCAGAAGGTTTAACGAGCGAGCGGGCACACACATTGGTCTTCATCATTAAAAAAATACATTTGAATAACTAGAATGACTAATAAAGAAGTTAAATGTAAGAAACATTATACTTAACAGGCAGTGATAAGTAAGAGCAATTCATTCACTCAAGAAAGTTAGAAATTAAATAATTAAAGCATTCAGTTAGCTAATGAAAGTCTTGGCTAGTTCGATAAATCCCCAATCCTAATTATTATTTCATAGTGACTGATATAATTGCACACTTATAAACAAACAACATTTAGCTAATAACTGAGCTACTAATAATTCACCCTTACTATATATGAAGATCAGGAGAATGGAAATAAAATAGTCAATTAAGTCCAAAATATATTTATTTTTAAATTAATTACATTTCTTCTGACGTTTTTGGCATTTAATTAAAATAGAATCGAGCGTTTTTAAAAATGTTTTCAACATTAAATCAACAAAATCTTGGAAATCTTGGAACTTTCCTAATAATCCATTTTTAAATTTGTAATTAAAATTATTTTTAATGCCAAAAAAAATTTTTAATCACTAATAATTGCAAATTTTTTTTTTACTTCAACATTGAAATATTACTCTAAAGTGGATTTTAGAAACTTTCTTTTTTGCTTAAATTCTCAAATATCTCCGCCAGAATATATACTGGTCAATACGAAACTCTTAGAAACTGTCGAACTTTCTTAATGATCCATATTTAAATGTACAAAAAAAAAAAAAAAAAAAAAAAAAAAAAACTAAGCATTAAGTTTAAAAAACTCTTGGAAACTCCCGAACTTTGCAAATAATCCATATTTAAATCTGCAATTAAAATTAATTTCATGTCAGAAATAAATTAAAATCAACACTAAAGGCAAATTTCATTAAATTTGTACATTAAAAGAATACCTTAAAGTGAATTTTATAAAGTTTCTTATTTGCATAAATGGTCAAATATCCCCAACAGAATGTATGAAGATCAGGAGAATGTAAGTAATATAGGCAATAAAGTTCAAAATATGTGAATTTTTCTATTGATCCATATTTAAATCTGCAATTAAAGTTAATTTCAATACCAAAAATAAATTAAAATCATCACTAATTGCAAATTTTATTAAATTTGTACATTGAAAGATTACTTCAGAAAATTCTATAAATTTCCTTCTCTGCAATTATATGTCAAATGCCCCAAACAGAATGTGTGCAGATCAAGAGCAGTGTAAATAAAATGATCAGATAAGTCCAAAATATATTTTATTTTTAAAGGAATTAAATTTTTATAACATTGTTGGCACTTAACTGAAACAGAATTTAGCAGATTTAAAAATTTTTTCAGCAATAAATTAACATAAACTCTTGCAAACTGTCGAATTTAAATCTGCAATTAAAATTAATTTCATGTCAGAAATAAATTAAAATCAGCACTAAAGGCAAATTTCATTAAATTTGTACATTAAAAGAATATCTTAAAGTGAATTTTATAAAGTTTCTTATTTGTATAAATGGTCAAATATCCCAAACAGAACATATAAAGATCAGGAGAATGCAAATAATATAGCCAATAAAGTTCAAAAGTGAACTTTTCTATTGATCCATATTTAAATCTGCAATTATTTTCAAAGTCAAAAATAAATTAAAATCACTAAATTTTGTAAAGTTTCTTTTCTCCATAAATTTCAAATATCCCCAACAGAATGTGTGAAGATCAAGGGGAATGCAAATAAAAATAATCAATTAAGTCCAAAATATATTTATTTTTCAATGAATTAAATTTTCATAACATTGTTGGCATTTAATTAAAACACAATTTAGCATTTTAAAAATTGTTTCAGCATTAAATTGACAGAAAAGCTCTTGGAAACTGTCGAATTTAAATCTGCAATTAAAATTAATTTCAATATCAAAAAAAAAAATTAAAATTGGCCTAAAAGCAATTTCCATTAAATTTGTACATTGAAAGAAAACTTTAAAGTGAATTTTATAAAGTTTCTTTTTTGCCTTAATTGTCAAATATCCTTAACAGAATACATGAAGAAGATTGCAAACCCCCGAAATTCAGTTATACTCAGATTATATACAGATTACAATTCAGTTATACCCAGATTATAATTCAGTTTTACTCAAACACTTAAAAAATTAAAGTATTTTAATTTTTTAGCATAAAAAAGTGGCAAAAAACATTAAAAATAAAAAATATTAAAATAAAATATTAAAAAAAAAATAAAAATATATAGTAATGTTCTATCATATGTAAATAGAGAACAAAAAAAAACTTTTTTCATCAAAAAAATATTTATATTAAAATTACTTTTGCTCATATGTTGCTGTGATTCTCTGATTGAAAAGACAAAATCATTTTAATTGTTTTAAAGTTTTTTTTTATTTCTATTGTTAAATTTATGTTAATTGGTGAATGATTCCTTTGTAAGAATGCAACTTCTCTAAAACTGTAATTTTATCTCAGAAACAAGATTTCTGTGGCTATTATTAAAAAGCAAATTCAATATTTTTTTCTGCTTCGTTTAAAAAAAGATGCTCTCAAAGCGTTTGTTTATCATTTATTTATTATTATAAAACTTCATCGATTCTTATTATTACCTTCAATTTACTTATGAATCCATTTCATTTCAAAGTGGAAAAAGAGACAATTTATTTTAGATCTATAAAAAAATCTAACTTTTTTCTTGATCATTATTGAAATAATTTCAGAGCAAAATAAAATACTCACTTTAGCATATAATTTAATAATTTCGATTTAACATTTAACAGGAACAAAATCATACTTTGGAAAAAATAAAAGAAATTAAAAGTATTTTTCACAAGCAAAATTGATTCATCAGTTTCTTTTTTCATGTGTATGCATGAATGAATTATCAAATAATTTAAAATAGCTATGGAATATTGTTGTAATTCAGTTAAAATTAATTCAATAAATGCAGAATATTTGTTGAATATCGCTGATGCTTTTCAAGTAATTCAAAAATCAAATTTATTATAAGAGCAATCAAAAAAGAAGGAAGGAAAGGAAGAAATTTAAAATAATAAACAAAATGAGAAAAATGTGCTGATTTTTTTTTAGAATTAATGGATCTAAATTATTTCATTTTTCGTATAAAAATTTTTTATCAATTGAAATTTCTTTCTTTATTTTTTTATATCCTAAAAAAAAGGATAAGTAAGCAAAAAGCTTTCCATTATTGATAACATTTTGAAATACCGAAATGGAGAGATTAAAATTGGGAAATTATTACCGATTGTAAATTATTGTAATCTAAAATTGAACAGACAGATCTTTCAGTAACTTACTTGTAATAACAGATAATACATTATTTTTTTTCTTTTTTTAAATTATAGCAAATATTTTTTCTCTTGCTTTTTTCTTTTAAATTTTAACAAACCTTTTCAACTACTTTTTCTTCCTCATTTTCAATTCGATTTTAACTGAAATTTCAATTATTTTTATAATGCACTGCAGATAGGTAAATAATTGATTGCTAACATTAAACATTTTAATGACTGGTTCATTGTATGTTTATATTATTTGCTGAATTTCTTTTCCATTTATTTAAATACTTTATGCTTTTTCCTTCTGGTATTTTCCTTTATTTCAAACAGTGTATAAAGCAAGGCAAGAGAGAGAGAGAGAGAGAGAGAAAAAAAAGATGAAAATAGTAAAAGACAATCTTTTTTTAAATTTATGAAACATTTGAAAATTTTGCACAATTTTATTTATATTTTTTTTTCTTGGTAAGTTTTTTTATTAATATAATTTTACTGGGCGAAGAAAAAAGAATAAGGAATAAAAGACTGTTTTGGCAAATATTGTTTATTTGCGATAATTAATTTGTCGTTGATTAATTGGTGCAATAATTTTAATATTTTTCATGACTTCCTTTTTTTTTT